AAAAATTCAAATAATTTTTGATGCAGGATCAAAAGAGCTCTATGGAAATCTGACTCAAAGTTTCAACTTTGGAAGTTCATATCTTCAGAACCGTTTCAAATATTGGAATGAAAAGTGTTTCACCTTGAAGAGCATTAAGCTCTGATTCAGAATAGTTATTTTTACATTGAAATATATAGAATATTAACATAGTAATAGATGATTTTGTGAAGCCATGTCGAAAAAATGAAATTTTTAGAGACCATTTGCATGTCGCGTCGGGCAAAATTGTCTGACAGTGATGTTTCCATTTAGGCCACGTCGGACATACAGGGTGACAATTTAACACTGAGACAAAAAATACTATAAATAAGAGAATGCCATTTAATTACATAAGGATTATATTTATTCAAAAAGAGTATTATAGTGGATCTTAGCCTCTATTTATACATTAATGATTATTAATTTTTACATGATTACAGTTCATGTAGTTGCCTTTTTGGCTGAGCAACTACCATTTATGGTGGAAGGAAGGGGAGGATTCATTGATTTACAGAAAAAAACTAATCTTAGATATAGTTACAATGGGGTTATTTACAATATTATGGGGTTGCGTTTCACTGATTATCCAGAGCAACAAATTAGGATTTGATCATGTCTTTTTGGTAATTGGTGTCCCCTGGGGAGGCCGTCCACCATAATAGGTTAGGATCCCATTTGTTGCATTGAATATACTATATACGGTAAGTGTAGCAGTGGGGCACTACCGAATATCGGCGAGAAATGGTTGAATTATAATTTGGTGTTGGGTGTTAGCTGCACAACGTAAATATTCAGCCTATTATGAGGCTTTAATAGAATAGCTAAATGCTCTTCAACTTTGCCGCAGGCAAAATTCTTTATGTGTTTTCTAGATGAAGAGTCAATTGATCATATTCTATATTGTAGCTGAAATGAAATGGTCACGGCTTCAAAGGGGTGTTTCTCATTTTAGAAAAATCATTAGGGGAGGGGGCCAAGTCCCATCTCCAAAACAGGAGGGGTTATATTGGAAATAGGATATAGGAATATAGGACAAAAATTGAAATAAGATAATATGTTTTTATACCTATAGAATCTTATCTGCTATACCTGAGCGGCTAAAGTAGACCTTTTGAAACTCATGGTCATTGGGGCGAATTTACCTGTATCCATAATCCAACAGGTTATATATTTAGGATCTTCCTAATAGTGTTTTTTGTCTAAGAAATATTCCTGATTGCTGCTTTTCTAATTGTCACCCTGTATATGCTCGACCTACACTTAAGCGTAATCATAAGTGCCCGACGTACGTAAAAACTCAAAGGGATTGAAATGAGTTATTATTAATGGAGTAATGACTTTTCTAAAATAATGATGTTTTGTAAAGTAATACTCTACAAACAATTTTTTCACACAAAAACTGAAGTGAGTGTAGAGTGGAAATTTTGAGAACTTTTTCCTTAAGATTCAATGTAAAAAAGATTAAAAACTCTAAGGGATTGAATTGAGCTATTATTAATGGAGTTATGACTTTTTTTAAATAATGATGTTTTGTAAAGTAATACTCTACAAACAATTTTTTCACTCAAAAACTGAAGTGAGTGTAGAGTGGAAATTTTGAGGACCTTTTCCTAAAGACTCAATGTAAAAAATACTAAAAACTCAAAGGGATTGAATTGAGTTATTATTAATGGAGTTATGACTTTTCTAAAATAATGATGTTTTGTAAAGTAATACTCTACAAACAATTTTTTCACTCAAAAACTGAAGTGAGTGTAGAGTTGAAATTTTGAGGACTTTTTCCTGAAGATTCAATGTTAAAAATACTTAAAACAAAAAGGGATTGAATTGAGTTATTATTAATGGAGTTATGACTTTTTTTAAATAATGATGTTTTGTAAAGTAATACTCTACAAACAATATTTTCACTCAAAAACTGAAGTGAGTGGAGAGTTGAAATTTTGAGGACTTTTTCTTGCTTTGTGCATTAAATTTTCCAGATTGCAGGTGGATTAATAGAGATGGTGTATGTAATCCACCTGCATTCCAATGCACGGGCTACGTTAATCACCCTGTATATACATGAACAATTTTTTCTGCCGCTGTGTTATTGTTTTCAGGTGAGCCCCCCTGTAAACAAACAGAATCCAGAAGTCGTCGGATGACTCTAAGAGTCTATAATAAGAATCTTCTTCTAGACGGATTTTTGACAAAAGTAAGTACATATTCATCAATTTCCCATTTTATTATTTTTCACTGAAAAAGTTTGAAATTTTAATCTGATGATCTCCTAACTTTCCTCTTTTTCTCCTAAAAATTTCACAATTTTCCCTCTAGTAGTTTTACAGAAAAAATTAAATTGTATAAAAGTGCATTTTCGTTTGATATCCATAAAAATTGTGTCCCTTCTATTTCTTAGGTAAGCCGTTACCCAATAAAGTCCAGAATCATTCTGAGCCCAAGTAGAATATTATAGGCTAATAATTATTTCTGGTAAAAATCCTAATTGTGGTTTGTAAGTGCAAGGTAATAGTACATTTTTCACATATACAATAGAACCTCGATTATCCGAGCTCTGGATTAATCGAGCCAGTCTAAAGACCCAAAAATCCGAGGTCCATACTCCGTATTAACCGAGTTTCTAGAATATACCATACATAGTATAAAAGTTCTGAGACCTATTTAGCCCTTAGACTGATACCCCAGAAAATAACTTCTGTTTATAACTGGCCAGTCACGAATATTTACCTACACTCTTCATAGGTATACATATATGTACATTTGGATTATCCGAGTTTTCAGTTATCCGAGGTCCACGTTACTTTGGATAACCGGGGTTCTATTGTACCTACCTACATTAGTGCTTTAGTATTTTAGGTGTTGGATATTGAAGGTGAATAAATAAGTAATTTTTAATATAAAACATTGAAATTTCACTAACATAAAGTTGTTTTTCCAGACATCCCTTTTCCAAATTTTGAACCATGAAGTGATGAGCTGGTTTTGGTCATGGATATGATACAAATGGATCAATAAAGGCTAAGTTTATCATTACTTTGGACATTGTACAGCCACTCGAGACATGGGACAAATAACTAGGATTTGTGGACATTGAAACAAATGACTGACAATGGTAGACGTAGCCACAACCGACTGGACAATGATGGACATGACTGCATGGATCCAAACTTTTATTACTTTTCTCTTCCAGGTGAAATTACATATGTGTCAATTCCCGAAAAACAGTTCATGATTCGACTGAAACTTTAAAGCAGGGAAGCCCCGGGGGAGCCTAATGCCATAGTTGTCCTGGACCTCATTTGTTGCACTAAATATACACCGTAAGCATGGTAAGTGTTTGCAGTGGTGCCTTCCTAGCTGGCGAGTGAAGGTTGAATTGATGGATAGTTGACGGTTTTGGCTGTACAAGTGTAATTTCAAAGTGCATTAGGCCTAACGGGAAAAGCACTTAAAAAAAAAACGCACCGACAGCTCGTACCTCTAGGGTGGTGTGGAAATTGGGCTTGAAGTTACAATTTTGAAACTTAACAAGGTAAGTTATTGAAAATAAAACTTTCTTTATTAAAATTATAAACTTTTTGCTATAGGGCAGCACTAATAACCGAGAGTTTTAAGCTTAAATCTGCAAGGCTTGTGACTGGAATCCAGAATTATATGAAGTCATGGTAAAAATCCTGGTAATTTTTTTTCATTTTGGACATTGGAATCAAGAATCAGACCTATTTCCAAATTGGGGAAAAGATGGCTTTTCAATGTTTCAAGATTGAGTTAATTTTTCCAGGAAAAAAAGATCTCAGATCAACTTCCAACTTCCAGAAACAAAATTCAAGTTTGGAAAATTTGTTTTCATGATTTATATAACTTTTTTGATCTATTTTGGCTATGGAAGTTGTGTTTTTGAGCAATGAAAGGGCAATTTTACACGAGTTTCCAGACTGTGAAATTGGAAATTTTCCGATTGATTTTTTATTACTTACATTCATTTCACTATATTATGTATGTACAATATTATCCAACAAAAGTGCTTTCTACCTTATATACCTGTTATAATTGAAGAGGTAATATCTCAATATCCATAAAAGGTATCGTGCCAAATTTTTCTCAGATTGTAGCTCCTACTGAATGCTTTGATGTGGTATTTGAGAAATATTTGTACCACCAGTGGTTTTTCAGCAATTTCAACTTGAAGTTTTGGATGAAATTTAGGCAAAATTCCAACTTTGAGGGCTGAAAAAGCTGATTCCGGCAAGCTACATGGAGTGGCCAGAATCATGGCCCTGGAGTCTAATAAAAAGGAGATGTCTAGAGACCGCACTTTAAGGACAGATACGAGATACCACAATAAATCTGACTAGGTTGCAGTGGTAGAGAACGCCTCTGCGCCATCTCCATTCAAACAAGTCTAATCTTATCTAATACTATACATTATGTTACCACGATACTGAATAACGCTTACCAATATGAACACAACAACGCCCTGCATTGCACGCGTTGGCATCGCTAGAACGGCATCGCGCAACGCTCACCGGAACGCGCACTTAGGATTCGTTTGATTTTCGCATGTCCGCCTATCACATAGTAGGTATACAGATAATAATGCATACGATGGCACGGACATGAACAGGTCATTATAAATATTTACAAACTCAAAAATTCTGGATTGTTCAATGCTTAACATTCCCTCTTGAGGTGCTTTTCCAGCCAATCATTGCTGAGAACGACAAAACTCCTTTTTTTGATGGGTATAAAAAAAACCTTACCTTTCTTGAGTTTGTTGATATTTTCAACCCTTCATTCCCTTCCAAATTTGAGTCCCATTCGAGGGAGCAGTCTAGAATACTTTATTGAGTCCCTGCAGTAGTATTGACCTATCTAAAATCTCGAAGAAACGGATAAAACCCCTATTTTTATTGAGTTTTTTGAGTTTTTTTCCTATATTTTCAACCCTAGCCCTACCGATTTTCAACTTAATTTATTACCTTCAAAAAAAATCTTCAAAATTTGGGCTCCCAAAAACTTCCTATCTGTTTTAAGAAGGTTTATGGCATACGAACATGTCCCAGTCACAATATCCCTCAAATTCTTTGATTGCATGTGGTACCTCACAAGTAAACCACAAGTTGATTTGAAATATCTAGCAAGACTTCGGTTTTCCTCTGAGTTCAATGGAAAACTTTGTCCTTCCAAAAAATACCATATGCCATGCTTTTCAATAACTTTCAGAAATGAATCGACTTGAGGACATCCTGGAATTTTGAGAGCAATTTTTCGGGTTTCTTCTTGCGAATAAAGTAATTTCAACAATGATATTTGATGTTCCGCGCTTCCAAATTGCTTCAAATTTCTTCTTCTTCCTTCATATTCAATACATCCTATCAGATAATTGGGAAGTGAATCTTCATTACCTTGATATAATGAATGAAAACCCATAGGATATCTGTATACCATTAAAGGAATCCAATATTTTAGAAGACTTTGAAAAAATTCTCTAGAATAAAAAGTTTATAAAAATAATATATCTTACATGATAGATCTATACCGTAAATAGATTTAGGTACACTTACCCTTCAAAATCCAGGCTTTGAAATTTCTTAGATAATCGTGGCATGATTAAATTGTCAAAATCTTCCTTTGATTGTTTATTAATTAATATTTTATAAAGCATACCACCTTCACGATTCTCTATATTATTCGAAAACATTTCAATTACTCTTGTCATAGCTGCCTCAAACTCAACAGTTCCAATATCAAAGCCAATATTTAATTTATCAATTGAGATACCTCTGATGGGTAAATTATCAACCTGGGTAAGTTCCAGGTGCTGTTCTTTGCTTAAACAGTGCATGGCTTTTTTTGCGATTTCTTCAGTATATTTTTTATAAGAGTTTGTAGATAATAAGTTGGCTTTTCTAACAAAATCCAATAAATCTTCAGCGATATGTGGATCTCCTTCAACATCTAAATAATCCGCGAATTTGTCTATTATTATCAGCAACTGGGCTGATTCTAATCGAGCTGGCTTGAAAGTTGCTAAAGCTTCACGCAAAAGAAAACTGCATTCCTTTACAAAATTATCATCGCCAACTTCTAGACAAGCTAGAATTAAAAGTCTGCAAAACCAACGGTCGCAAGGTTTAAATGTAAACTCTTGTATACTGATATATTCATTTTCTGTAGCTCCCAACGATTTCAGAAGAAAATCTATAGTTGCTGTGTGTAACAATTCGGCACCTTCAAGGTAGCAATAGGTATCTGCTAATAAACTTTGCATATGATCCCTATTTGGATTGGAGCAATCAGTCATTTGAAAAATTTCGGAACTTAGTTTGTCCATGCAGTGAGATCTCCTGTTTTCCTGAAATATGAAAAAATAGTTGATAAACGATTTGATTTACTTGTATGCGTTAAGGGAAATTTGATGATCATTTCAAAAAACTAGATTCAGTGACAAATACTCTCACCAAAATTAAATTTGCAAATATAGATTCTCATAGGACTTTTCATTCAAATTAAGATTTATAATATACTGATTTTGCAATTTGAACCCCAAGGTAAATGAGACTGATCGTATGCAGTAGCAGCCTCAAGATAGTTTTTTGTTGAGAGCTATTATATTGATGGACAGGAGATCATTGATATATAGAAGAAATAGGATGGGTCCAAGAACTGAGCTTCGAACTGAGCCTTGCAGGACTCCAAAAGTGATGTTCTGTTCAGAGGATAGTTTGCCATCCGCGGAGAGACGTTGGCTGCGATGGAAAAGGTACGATCAAAACCATTCCAGAACTATGCCTCGGAAACCATAGGCTTCCCCAGTAGTGTTCTGTGACTCACGCAATCAAAAGTCACAGAACACTCCCGCAGTAGCATATATCCATTGTTACAGTTCCTGAAAAGCGCTTCGATTACACGGAACATCGCATCATGCCTGCCTTTTTTTGGGAGAAATCCAAACTGGGCGGAATCAAAAAAATTATGCAATGTCAGAAAACTCAACATTCACTTCTTAAGTAATTTTTCTACTACTACTAAACAAAGGGATTCTGTACCCGTAAGCCTTCCAGGTAAATCATAGGATCAGTATCAGAATAAATGGTGCTGGTGAGTTTGCTGGCCACCAATAATCATTGTTAAGTTCTTCCGGTTTTATATCAATTTCAGTTGGTTTTGAGATATTTTTGCCACTCATTTCTTTTACAACATTCCATGTTTCCCTAGATTTATTAGTGGCATTATCAAGTCGACTTGAGTAAAAGAGGTATTTAGCTGTTTTGATGAGTTTTTTTGTAGATTTGACGAAATCTTAGGTAGTAGGCAGTTATAAATGGATTGTCATGAAAGTGTCTCCTTAATATATTCAGAGAACGAAGATTGGCTGTAGATGTTTTTAGACCTTGTGTTACCCAGTATTTTTGGTTCAATCTTTCACCAAGTGGCTTTGAAGGAAAGGTTATATCATTGATGCCGCTTAGAAGAAGGTGGAACTCTTGTAGTGGGTCACATTATAGAAGTATGGGTTGCCAGTTAGTACTATTACAGGTACTTTTAAATTTTAGAAGTTTCTTTTGCTAAATATCCTACCTTGTTTCCTGGAGTTATTACATGGCTTTAACTTCAAGGGGAGTTTAGCTATTAAAGCGTGGTGGTCAGTGTTAAAATTTGTCAAGGTCAGTGTTAAAATTTGAACATAGGTAATCATTGGTGGTAGAGGTAGAATTAGTTGTTTTTGTTGGATTTTTTATATGCATATGGAGGTTGAAACTTTCGAGCAGATTAATTAACAGAATGGTTGAATGTTAATCATACCATTGATGTTCATAGGCATAAGATTTCTCTGTCATATCGACTTTGGTGAATTTAGTGGAGAAATCTTTTAAATCCAATAAATCTATTTCGTCTTCAGATGGAATAATGTGAGGTCTATAAACCTAGCAGTCCCAAGGTGGAAAAAAAACTTGGGGAAATATATAATAATTAGGTGCTTTTTAGGTGCTAATTAGGGCCTCTAATTAAAAATTAGGTGCTCCTTTAGTTTCTGAAAAAATCAAAAAAAACTAAGGGACTGCTAGGTTTATAAAAGCTAGCAGTCCCCTATAGTAAAAAATATTTTTTTCAAATTTTTTCTTTGTATCAGAATTAGGTGCTCTTTAGGTGCTCCTAAATAGTCCAAGAAAAAATCGAATTGATGAATTATTAACTGAGTTACAGATTTTTTTTTAAAATTATTAGGGGACTGCTGGCTTTACGTTTACATGTTGGTGTGTCAGAATGGAAAAAAGACTTCGGGATCTATATAATAATTAGGTGCATTTTAGGTGCTAATCAGGGCCTCTAATTAAAAATTAAGTACTCCTCTGATTTTTGAGAAAATCAAAAAAAACTAAGGGATTGCTAGGTTTATGAAAGCTAGTAGTCCCCTATAGTAAAAAATATTTTTCCAAAATTTTCTTTTGTATGAGAAGAATTAGGTGCTTTTTAGGTGATCTTAAATAGTCAAAGAAAAAATAGAATTGATTAATTATTAACTGAGTTACAGATTTTTTTTTAATTATTAGGGGACTGCTGGCTTTACGTTTACATGTTGGTGTATCAGAATTGCAAAAAAACTTCGGCATCTATATAATAATTAGGTGCATTTTAGGTGCTAATTAGGGCCTCTAATTAAAAATTAGGTGTTCCTCTAGTTTCTGAGAAAATCAAAAAAAACTAAGGGACTGCTAAGCTAGCTTATATAAAAGCTAGCAGTCCCCTATAGTAAAAAATATTTTTTCAAATTTTTTCTTTGTATCAGAATTAGGTGCTTTTTAGGTGCTCCTAAATAGTCCAAGAAAAAATAGAATTGATTAATTATTAACTGAGTTACAGATTTTTTTTTAATTATTAGGGGATTGCTGGCTTTACGTTTACATGTTGGTGTGTCAGAATGGAAAAAAAACTTCGGGATCTATATAATAATAAGGTGCTTTTTAGGTGCTAATTAGGGCCCCTAATTAAAAATTAGGCGCTCCTCTAGTTTTTGAGAAAATCAAAAAAAAAACTAAGGGATTGCTAGGCTTATGAAAGCTAGTAGTCCCCTATCGTAAAAAATATTTTTCCAAAATTTTCTTTTGTATCAGAATTAGGTGCTTTTTAGGTGCTCCTAAATAGTCCAAGCAAAAATAGAATTGATTAATTTATTAACTGAGTTACAGATTTTTTTTTTAATTATAAGGAGACTGCTGGCTTTACGTTTACTTGTTGGTGTGTCAGAATGGCAAAAAAACTTCAGGATCTATATAACAATTAGGTGCTTTTTAGGTGCTAATGTAATTTGGGTGGGCGGGGGGGGGGGGGGGGAGCTCGCTGCCTATTCCGTTTGAATTCCCGCCGATTTCTTCCATTTTCAGTCATGTTCGAAGCCGTTTTACTTGCGATAAAAAAATTAAATGGAAAATCTGAGATAGAGGATCGATAGTTTGGCATTTCGACTTATCAGTGGACTTTTCAAAATAAATATAAAAAAATTATCCTCAATTCGACAGACTGCTTTAGAAACATCCCCATTTTGATTGACAAGGGTATTATGCCGGAACGACCCATCAGATCGGGCCCAAATTTGGGCTCAATGAAGCCTGCCCCATCTACTATGTATGTATAAAAAATTAATTGTCTAGCATGAAAATTAAAAAAGTTAGGAATTTTTTACGAAAATCTCTTTTTTGAGGGGAAAAAAATCATTTCTCGAAGACTAAAAGACCTACAGGGTTGTATGATGGCTCATTGTGAAGCTTGTTCAATGCTCTAAAACTATTGCCACAGTAGCAAAACCATCCGATCATTAGTTTTCAAAATAAAGTGAAATAATCAAAAAAAGCCCTATTTTTGCACTAAATATTGTTTATAAAATCCCCTAAAAGTAATTAGATGTTGCATTTTTGGTTTTTAGCATCTATAAATGATCCTTAACAATATTGCATCGATAGTTTGCTGTTAAATTTTATGTTAAAATATGGCTGTTATTTCGCTAAGTGCCTTGGCCTATTGTTGAAATCCTGAAATCGTTGTTTTCTAAGGCAGTGCCTCCACCAATAAAATTTTCAAAATTCGCGCCTTTTTTGTTTTATTGTTTAATTTTGGCCCAATTAATAAAATGGGTCTATATGCGCATATACAAACACTGTGTCTCAAATTACTTGTAATTACAGGGTTTCTAGGTAACCAGTAACTTAGTGTTTTTCGCAATCCAGTTTTTCGTGAAACTTAGAATGCCGCAAACAGAATTATGCCACCTTATTTTGTTCCAGAGATACAGAGTGAAATAGAACACCCTGTAAGATAGAAAAAAAGGTGAAAACTGCTGTAGATAGATATTTCTACGTAAAGTCCAGTGCTGTAGTCAACACATTTTTTAGACAAATCCTTTCGAGATAATCCTCAAACTTAGTATTTTTAGGTCCCAAAAAATTCGGATTTTTTTCTCTTTGAAATGATGCATCACACTTTGCACTATGACTCAAACTAACCCTCAAAAACGCAATAATAAAAGAAAAACGTAAGTTGGCCATGGAATTATAGGTACCTACCTATTAAAGTTTCCACAAGCAAAAATGAATAAAATTATTAATTTTTTGAATAACCATTTTTTACTCTGAACTTGAAAAACTTAGTAATCTTAATGAACTTAGTGACGCAATATTAACTATTAATTACAACACTGGATACTACATAAAAATATCTATCTATAGTAGTTTTCACCTTTTTTCTATCTTACAGGGTGTCCGAAATATGATACCACCCCAAAAAAGCGCTAAATTTCTATTTCACCCTCATTCTCGGGAACGAAATAAGGTGGCACAATTCTGTTGCGGCATTTAAAGTTTCACGAAAAATTGATACAGGTTGGCAAAAACCGCAAAGTTCTATCTTTGCTGGTTACCGAGGAACCCTGTGATTACAAGCAATTTGGGACACAGTGTACATGGGGTGCTGTTTCTCCCTTAAAGATTGTGGAATTTGGCAGTCGGTGATCTCAGTGTACCTACACATTTTGGGTCAGCTATTCACCCCTCGCCTGACGCCTATACTACCCAAGATCGAAATTACTCACAGCACAGCATGGTGTAATTTCTGTGAAGTGGTAGTATTGGCACAGTAAAACTTCTCGAATTTATTATGATGCCACTTACTTGATATAGCGTTTCTAATGGTATGAGTCATTACCAATAATTTGGATCTCGACATATAGTAAATGGTACTGAAATCATGAAATCTGTGTGAATCTAGTAAAATAACATTTACTCTTGGGAAATCAATGTAAATCTGGGAAATCAATGAAATCAACAAAATCAAGTGAAATCAGCAAAATCAAGTAAAATC